TGTGGGAACCCCTGGACGTGTATTTGACATGCTAAGGAGACAGTCTCTCCGCCCTGATCACATTAAGATGTTTGTATTGGACGAGGCTGATGAAATGCTTTCCAGAGGCTTCAAGGATCAGGTCGACTATTTTAGATAAAAAAAAATGCCCCTTCTTTTTCCCACATACCTGCACAGTGTCTGTGATGCATACACATCTTCATCTTTGCATTGATATCTCTGTTTTTTATATGAAAGTCTCTACCTGTTCTTTATAAAAGAATGACAGTCTTGATGTTTAAGGTTCTTCAGTTCACATGTTATACAAATGATTCTAAAAGGAGACCACCAACATCATCAATGTAGTAGGGTTGACTATGTTTAGGAGTTAGTTTTTCTTTCAGCCTGAGAAATATGAGTCTGTGCAGAATTATTCACTTGTTTTCCCGGGAATGAGGGGTGTCCAGAGGTTTTAGATACTGGAAAAAGTGATATCTGGTCTATGGTGCACTTGAAGGGGAGCCTTGGAGCAACGGTCAAGTTATCTCCGTGTGACCTATAGGTCATGGGTTCGAGTCGTGGAAGCCACTGATGCTTGCATTAGAATAGATTGCCTATATCACACCCCCATAGGGTGCGGTCCTTCCCCAGAACCTGCGTGAACAGGGGATGCTTTGTGCACCAGTGCACTTGACATACTCTATAGCCCAAATTATTGTTGTAGAGGTCAAAGATGCCATCTTCTCTTTTCTGTTTTCTTTATGCTAGTTTCTTTTCTTTCAAGTATGTTGGAACATAGTTTAAATCCGTGGCCTTGTTTTCTTGATAGTTTGTGATTAAGTATGTGTGACGCTGTAAATTATGTTTAGCCTTGCAATGATGTCCAATGTATTTGTGATTTTGTTGTCCACTTTCCTTTCTGTGTTCTTTTATGTATGCTATGGTTGTATCCCAGGTACTTCCGTGTTAGTGTTCTAGGTCTGTATCCACTGCTTGTCTTCACATGGAATATTTTACTTAAATTTACATGATTTCTTCCCTGGTGGTTCTAAAATTTACACATTTTCTTTGTCCCCAGATCTACGATATTTTCCAGCTCTTGCCTCCTAAGATTCAGGTTGGTGTTTTCTCTGCCACAATGCCTCCTGAGGCCCTTGAGATCACAAGGAAGTTCATGAACAAACCCGTGAGGATTCTTGTGAAACGTGATGAACTGACCTTAGAAGGTATTAAGCAGTTTTATGTGAATGTGGACAAGGAAGAATGGAAGCTTGAGACCCTTTGCGATTTGTATGAAACCTTGGCCATCACACAGAGTGTGATATTTGTGAATACTCGTCGCAAAGTTGATTGGTTGACTGACAAGATGCGAAGCAGAGATCATACAGTCTCGGCCACTCATGGTGACATGGATCAGAATACTAGGGATATTATAATGCGCGAATTTCGTTCTGGTTCCTCTCGTGTTCTCATCACCACCGATCTTTTGGCCAGAGGAATTGATGTCCAACAAGTTTCCCTTGTCATAAATTATGATCTCCCCACTCAACCTGAGAATTACCTTCATCGTATTGGACGTAGTGGGAGGTTTGGTAGGAAGGGTGTTTCAATCAACTTCGTAACCAGCGACGATGAGAGAATGCTGTCTGACATTCAGAGGTTTTACAATGTGGTGATTGAGGAGCTCCCAGCAAATGTTGCTGATCTCCTGTAACCAGCTTTGGACATTCAGAGGTTTTACAATGTGGTGCTTTAGCTGTGTCGCGAAACTTCCCCTCCTTTCTTTTTCATCTTCTTGATATCCTTCTTACCTTTTGTTTGTTTAGTAGTTTCTGTGATTCTGAACTAATGAGTAATGCATATTAGCATTTTGTAATCCATCATCCTATTTAGTGGTGGGCTTTTGCTAGTTTTTGACATCCAAAGTTTTTGTATTTGAAGAATGATATCGAGTACATTTTTAATTTGCATTTTGGAAGAGATGTTTTAGTCGCCCCCCACCCCCCAAAATAATAAGTACCTAAATAGTAAGTACCTAAATAGTAAAAGTACTCCCTCCATCCCAATTGATGGTGTTTAGCTGGGTATAAAGATTTATTTAAGAAAGAAAAGACAATTTGTGAAATATTGGTTTAAATAGGCCATAATGATTAGTCGAAAGTAAAATTGTTTTAAATATCCAAGTGTGTCATTATTTGTCGCATAAAATGGAAACGAAGTCCCTATTTTGGCCTTCACAACAACCAGTATATTTACATGCAGTGCTACTAGTACTACGGGTAAGAAAGGGAACTCTCAACTACTTATTAAACTTCTACCCTACTCTTACTTTCATGCCCTTCTATCAAGGGTCATGTCCTTAGTAAATTGAAGTTTCACCATGTCCTGTCTAATCACCTCCCCGGGTACTTCTTAGATCTGCCTCGACCTCTTCTCAAACCTGTCATGGTCAGCTTCTCACACCTCCTAACAGGAGCGTCAATGCTTCTCCTCTTAACATGCCCGAACCATCTTAGCCTCGACTCCCGCATCTTGTCCCCCACTCTGTCCCGAATAACTTCATTCCTAATTTTATCCCTCCTGGTACACCTACACATCCATCTCAATATTCTCATTTCTGCTACTTTCATCTTGTGCACATGGGAACTCTTGACTGGCCAACATTCCGCCCCATACAGCAAGGTCGGTCGAGCCACCACTCTATGAAATTTACCCTTAAGTTCTAGCGGCACTTTCTTATCACATAGAACACCGGATGCAAGCTTCTACTTCATCCATCCTGCTCTAATACGATATGTGACATTCTCTTTGGGATGACTTAAGTATTGAGCTTCACATCCACGTCTGCTTCTAGGGCCGCGTCATTGAATTTGCACTCCAACTATTCAATTTTGGTCCCGCTCAACTTAAAACTCTTAGATTCCAAAGTTTGTCTGCAAACCTCCAACCTCGCGTTAATCCCGCCTCGTGTCTCGTCTATCAACACTATATCATCTGCAAACAACATGCACTATAGTACCTCCTCTTGAATGTGCTGCGTCAGCACGTCGGCTAAGAGTCAGATCCCTGGTTTTGGTCTACACCATTACCCTTTTAAATTGGTTTTTTAATTGGTTAACAAGTTTTAGAAGGTAGTAGAGGTTTTGTTTTCCTTCTTTTAATTAAGTGCTGGAAAACTTTATTTCATCCTTTTATACATAGAATTAACTTTTAATAAAAGGCAGATAATTGTTCTTAATTTGTATATACGAGAAGGCCATTCTATTTTACTTTTGTACATCGTTATCACATGATCTTTATTACTTGATATGCTTGTCAAATTTCAATAACAGCTTGTTTGAATAATTGTTATATATCGTTTTATAATGTGTTGTATTGTATTGTGTTGTATTGTTTGATGAATATAATATTTGGATAGATTGTATCGTTTGACATCGTTTTATGATATCACGTACCACCAATATGAAAAATAAACTTACAATATTATAAAGAAAAATTATGATACGGGGTAAAACTATTATGTAAAAGGGTAGGATAAATGATAAAATAAAATTATTTAATGTAATGAAGGGTGAGATGAGAGAAAAAAACAAGGTAACGACGCGACCACACCAACTTGTTCGTTACATAAAGTGGCATATTTCGTCATTATGTAACGACGAATTTAACGATACGATACAATAAAATTTAAGTAATAATCAAAACAAACAGCGTATTTAAAGCAACAATACGATACAATACAATATGTATCAACTATACAAACAAGCTGTAAATAGATGAGTACCAAATTTTTTCGACTCTAAAGAGGTATTCTTTCTCTTTTTATTTTCTATCCAAATACATCATATTTCATCTATATACTGTGAATAGTCATATAAACTATTGATAACTGCCACTACGAAGGTCAGGAGGATAAACTATGATATCATAACTACGTACTCTGTTGACGCGTGAGAGCATGCATGCGTCAGGCGTCAGCAGAGGTTCAAAGCGGAGACTTATCAATCGAATCGGATTTAGATTATGAAGTTAAGGACACTACAGCTACGTACCCCAGTCATGAAGTATCATTCAGAAGGGATATGCCCTTGCTGCCTTCAGAAGGTGGACAAACCTTTTCGGCAGAGGTACCGCCAACTAGGGTGTACAAATCAAACCGATAACCCGCACCAATCCGAAAATTCGAGTCAAACCGAAAAAAAAACCCGACTAGTGGTTTGGTTTGACTTGATTTGGTATTGAAAAATAAAACCCGACCACAATAGGGTTGGTTTGGTATTAACTAAAAAAAGTCAAACCGAAACCAAACCAACCCGACATCACATGTATACATATTTATATATTAAATAGATAAAAATATTTATTAGAATGTAAGTTATAATTATTTCTTAATTTTTATTATAATTTCTTTATATAGCATAATATTTTAAATTGGTATTATAGCCCATGTAAATGTTTTTTTTTGTTTGGCCCATAAAAGAATAATTGAGCCCAAACCAAAACCTAATCTTAAAAGCAGATAGATTGTCCAAAAGGTGTTCTGAAACACATAAACAATTGAAATCATCTTGCCTCTTCTCCAAAGGCAAAAAACCTACGCTCTTCCTTTGCTCAAACCCTATCATCGGTAAAGCTCTTTTGCTCTCATTTTACATGTTTTCTTTTAGCTGCATACATATACCTTGTTTTTCCCCAATTAACTAAGATGTGGCAAGCTAGCTTCAAGTCCAAGTGGTTACATTGGTCCTTTATCAGAAGATCAAAGTAGAAGTAATGATACAGATATAAGGGAAACAAGTGAAAAAAGATGCTTAGCTTCTCAAGAATGTCGTTCAAATACCTTTAATTCATCCTAGTTGGATTCTTTTATAACAGCCTTAATTTTACTTTAGCCCCAAATTTATGATTGGGGTGAATCTAAAAACTCATATTCTGGACCCTCCCTGCTTTATGCTTTCAATATAACACCCCCCACCCATATTAAAAAATGTAGAAAGATTAGACAGTGATCCTGTTATTGCCCCAGAAGTTTCGCAATCCAGCTAATTCTGAATAATCTAGCATTCTGTTTATATTGCTTAGTCCATGACCTCTATAAATATATTGCACCTTCTTTGGCTTCACTTCAACATAAAATAACCTCTATAAATATAGCCCAGTGATCTGTCATTTGTTGTCACAATGCGAAGGTAAATTCCATGAGTTAAATAGTAACTGGATATGTTCTATTTGCAGGAACTTTTTCTAAGAATGGAAACTACAACTTCTGTAGCAGATGCTGAGGTGGTTGTCAATAATCCTTCGCTAGTGGCAGCTCAAAAACAAAGTGCAGACACTCCTCATAACGCACTCCTCCTAAGAAGCAAAAAAGAACGACTCCATCAGAAAAATCTAAATCTGGGAATAGTGGCAGAGAGACGTCCGAGATTTGGAATCACTTCTCCAAATTTACTGCTAAAGGAGGTAAATGTAGGGCAAAAATGCAATTATTGTCCTAAAACATTGGCTGCAGGTAGCAAGAATGGGACTACTATATTATGGTCGCATTTAACTTCTACATGTCACAAATCTCCCTTTAGAGCCATTGATAAGAGACAATCAACATTAAAACCTATCAAGGAAGGGTGGCTAGAAGGTGGTTCGGGTGCTACTGAAAGGGTAGTGTATAATGTGGATGACATTATAAGGGCGACTGCCGAATTTGTAATTCTTGATGAGCAATCTTTTAGAGTTGTTGAAGGAGAAGGATTTAAGAAATTAATGGCTAAAGCCTTACCTAATTTCGAATTACCTTCTCGTGTAACTGTTGCTAGACATTGTTTGAGGATTTATCATGAAGAGAAGGAAAAAATTAAAAATCTTATTAAGAACCAACGCGTATGTCTCACTAGTGATACATGGACATCACTACAAAACTTAACTTATATGGTTGTTACTGCACATTGGATAGATGATCAATGGAATCTATAAAAGAAAATTTTGAACTTTTTTCCAACGCCGGATCACAAAGGTGAGACTATTGCAAAGGGAATTGAAGCATGTTTATTTGGTTGGGGCATTGAGAACTTGTTTACATTGACTTTGGATAATGCAAGTGCTAATGATGCTGCCATTAAGCATTTGAAGTTGCGTATTGATGATTGGAAAGGGGCAATACTTGGAAATGAGTTTTTGCATGTTAGATGCAATGCTCATATTTTGAACTTGATTGTAAAAGATGGGTTAGATGAACAAATTGAGCCTATTACTCGTGTAAGAAATGCGGTAAAATATGTTAGGTCTTCTCCTTCAAGGTTTGCTTCTTTCAAGTCATTTGTTGAGAAAGATAAGATAGATACTCATGGTCTTGTAAGTCTTGATGTTGAAACAAGATGAAATTCCACATATACAATGTTAGATACAACTCTAAAATTTGAAAAAGCCTTTACAAAAATGTATGTGGATGACCATAAATATCAAAAGTATTGTCGAGAAATAAGCGCTTTAAGAGGAAATCCATCTGTAGACGACTGGAAGAATGTGAAAGCTTTTATCAAGTTTCTTAACATTTTCTATCAGATAACTTTAAAATTTTCAGGCAGTTTATATGCTACTTCCAACTCTTTCTTCCATGAATTTTTCAATCTTCGAAATGCTATTATAAAGCATACCAAAAGCGATGATCGTACTTTGAATGATATGGCAGGAAGAATGAAAAGTAAGCTTGAGAAATATTGGGGTAAGTTTGAGGATATGAATATGTTATTGCTTGTTGTTGTTGTGTTGGATCCTAGATACAAGATGAAATATGTGAACTTCATTCTTACTGATGTATTTAGTTCTTTGTTGGGAAGATTGAAGTCCGAAGATGTGGTAAGCATTTTAACTCGCTTGTATAATAACTACAATGATTCTTTTTTTGAGGCTTCTAGTGACAATATTGGAGGCGATACTAGTATGAGTGAAGTTGGTGATTTGTTGCAATCAAAGTGGGAGAAA